AAAAGATAGGCACCATAAAGCTTTCTCATCTTATTTAACATGCCTCTTGTCTGTAATTCCTTCTTCCTTTAGCATGATTCTAGCCCTCCATATACTTCCAGGTGAACGACCTTTTGCAGCTTAAAGATACTAAAGCTTCTATTCGTTATTCGTCTCGAATAAAAAAATTTTACTTTAAAAATATCAAGAATCTATCGTATTATTGATCTCAATTATGAAATTGATGTTTCTTAAATTTTTTAGACAAATAATTAATTAATTCATAAAAAGAAAGTTTATAATTTTATATAATAAAGTAAAAGCATAAATTCCTTGGTAACTGCAAGAAGTGGCCAACGGTCAATACCGTGGCGGTCAATATCTTAGCGTGTTCTGAGTAACCTAGCCTTATCGAAATAATCGGAAGGTTCTCTCCCAAACATATGCACATTCAAACGAGCCTCTATTCTGCTTTGACATTTCATTTCAAGGATATTTTCCTTCGTGTACACAATAAATTCAGGACGTGATATTAATGATTTTCTTTCTATGCAACTTCTAATAGCAAAATCTGCTCTGATAATAAGTCAAAAAGAAAAATTACAGATATAGATTTTATTTTTATTATAGGATTTTAGGTTACAGGATTTTTATACATATTTATCTTTATAGAATTGCTTTGTAAAGTATATTTTAACAAATAGCATTTTTGCAATTTTGCAAAAAATAGTTATTCTTATTTTAATTCTTAACGTAATGTCATTATTTGATATATATTATCTTTTCTTTTAATATAATAATATAATAAATTTCTTTTAATATATATATATTATCTTTTGTATTATATATCAAATATTTCAATCTTTATAATTTATAATTTTTTATATTTTAAATATTATTATATTAAAGTATTTTAAAAATATTATTACATAATCGAGTGAAATTGATATTTCTAAAATAATAATTTTGTGATTTATTTATATCTTTACATTTTATAATCATTTATTGTAGTAATGATTTTTGATTAATTATTCAATTTGATAATTCTAATTTCTAAGTTTTTTATATACTTTATAAACTTAAATTCTTTGATTGTAAAGATAAATGGTTTGCAGAATCTTAAACATCCAAATCTGGTCAATCTTCTGGAGGTCTTCAGGCGGAAACGGAAATTACACCTAGTCTTTGAATATTGCGAGTATACGTTATTAAATGAGATGGAGAGATATCCGAGTGGGTGTCCGGAAATCACTACAAAACAGCTCACATGGCAAATACTGCAGGGCATCGCATATTGCCATCGATTGGGTTGCGTTCATAGAGATGTAAAGCCGGAAAACATTTTAATCACAGGCGATGGCGTGGTAAAATTATGCGACTTCGGTTTCGCTCGAATGCTCAGTCCTGGTGAAAATTACACAGAATATGTCGCAACTAGATGGTACAGAGCACCTGAGTTATTGGTAATTTTTTTTATATTTCTATATTTACTTGTTAATAGTTCATTTTTAATTGTTAAATTTATTTTATTATATTTTGTGTAATAGCTATGAATTAATTAAAATAAAATGAAATTAATATAGATATTAATTTAATAAAGCACACTAATAAAATTATTATTCTACTCTTAAATTATTTTTCTAAATATATTTTATATAGAGCATATTTTTATTTAGATTTCATATCATTTAGATTTCATATTAGATTTCATTTGCATTTTAATAATAAATTTTTAATTAGAATAATAAGACAATAATAAATATTTAATATTATATATTAAAAAGATATTTTTCAACAGGTCGGAGATACTCAATACGGTACACCAGTCGATGTATGGGCAATCGGTTGTGTTTTCGCAGAATTAATACGTGGAGAAGCACTATGGCCAGGAAAATCAGATGTGGATCAATTATACTTAATTCGAAGAACTATCGGTGACTTATTACCAAGACATCTAGCTATTTTTCAGCAAAACGAATTTTTCGCTGGTATAATTTTACCAACACCTCAAACTCTTATTCCTCTCGAAATTGTTCTACCAAAGAGAGGCAATACAATTTTACAAGTAAATTTTTAAATTTTTTTTATTTTAAGAATATTTTTTAATTTATAATCATTATATATATATATATATATAAAATGATTAAAAGTTTGAAATAACAAATTTTATTTATTGAATTTAATAGCTTGACTTTCTCAAAAAGTGCTTGGATAAAGATCCTGATGAAAGATGGTCCTGTGAACAACTTTTACAACATCTTTATTTTGAGAATTTTCATTTCAAAATGCCTGAAGCGGAAATGGAGGAATTTGAAAAACTTAAAAAAAATCGGGATCGATCACAAGTATGTACAATTGCAAAATTATAATTATGATTATATAGGTATTTATAATAATAAAAATATTTTAAGTATTACTAAAAAATATGATATAATGATATACTAAAAAATATAATAAATTAACAAAATTATTAAAGACATTCTAATATACCTATCTTATTGTAGAATAGTAATAGCAATGAAATGGTATTACCACAACTTCCTAAGGCTGGTGCTTCGGTACACAGTCAAAATGAAAATCGGCCGAAAAGCTCCTCCATGAATTATCAACAGAATTTTGATCACCTGCCTACTATTAAAAGGTTCTAATTAAGCTCCTCTGTGATTGTAATATATTTATATGTATATATATACATATATATTTATTTATCTATTTATTTAAACTTTATAAACTTTCATTATAAATTAATAATTGTTAATATATTTTATTTTTATTTTGCACATTTGTCTTTCTAATTTCTGAAAAGATTTTATTTAATTAATATGATTTCCATATATACATATTTATTGTATGTATGTTATATATTATATGTATATCTTAAAATAAAATTTTGTACAAAAGGAATGTTGTATTCTCATACTTAATATATATATATATATATTGTAATAATGTTATGAAATAATTATAATTTAATAATTAATGTAATTAGAAAGTATATATATTTATAGCAAGTGATTAATTTTATTAATTATTATTTGTAATTATTATTTCAAAAAATATTGATTTCTATTTCAAAAATATAAATTCTTCAATATTTATAACATTTATTATATATTATTACATTAATAAATATTTAATTACAATAATATTTTATTTATTGTCACTTGAATTTATGAAATCATCGTATAATTCTATAAAAGGATGTTTACGTTGATCCTTTTCTGGTCTTAATTTCTGTACCATATTCCAACCAACATGAATAGCAATAATACCAGTAAGACATATTAATAGATGAATATTATGATTCATTTTTATAGTAATTTTATATAAAATTTTACGTACTTTATTTTCGTAAAAAATGAAAATGTCTACTCCTTTGTGATCCGATAAATGTGATATTTTCTTTAAAAAAGTTATAAATAAGTTAAATAAATTATATATTTTATATTTTATGAAGGTATATTTCATTATCACTTACAAAATTTAATATTAATATATAATTGATTACAAATTATATCACACTAATTATTACAGATACAATATATTACTTGGTTATGTTGTTTATATAGTATTTAATTTTGAATGAATAAATGTACTTTAAATTGATTGGCTAATCATATTTTATATGATATATCTGAATTTTCTATAAATTTAACTTATTATTACATAATATTCTATTGCATATTAACTCTATATCACTCTATAATTAAATACTTATATTTATAATATAATTAAAATAAAAAAATTAATTTTCACGAATAGAATTTTTGGATGATTTTCAGAAAACATAAATTAGCTATATATAAGTAAGCTATAAGTAACTATAAGTAAGAAGGCGGGAAATTTTTATGATAATGTTCTTTAATAGTAAATATTAATATTAAGAAATGTAATTATATAATTATTTTATATTTTTATTTTTATAATATTATTGTATATTTTTATACATTATAACATCTTATTATCTGAAGCAAAAAACATTTATTTCTGTCTAGAATATATAATACGTATGTATAAATATCTTTATAATTATGCCTGATGAAAAATTAATAAAAACAATACAAAGTACCTTCTCATTATATGGACTTGTACTTTCAAGGTATATTAAATTTTTATATATTAGACTTATAATATTATATAAGTATATAATATTTTATCATTTAATTTTGTAAAAAAAATTTATTATATAGAAAACTTAGTCTTGCACTTGCTAAAGAACTTTTAAGTATAGAAGAAAATGAACAGGAAAATTGGCTTACACAAATAATAGAACATGTTTTGACTCAAAATTTAACTGATCCAAATGTAACTATTGAAACTCTAAAGCTAGCAATACAAGAATATATAAGACCAAATACATTAAAGGATACAGAAACAGTTTTAAATGTTATAGATGTATTTGATGTACCTAAAATCAAATATGATTTGTCTAAAAAAAAATTTATTTTGGAAAATATTTCACCAGATTTATATGCTGAAGCACAATATAAATCTACAATTTTTAAAGACAGATTTGAATTACTTTGGTATAGAACTTTAAGACATGAATTATTTATACCACCAAAACTTGGTGAAAAAAAAGAAAATTGGATTGAATTAACATCAATTGAATATTTATTGAGTGAAAGCAAAAAAGGAAATGTTTATGTCATGGGTCTTTTAACTGAATTAACAGAGGGACAATATTATTTGGAAGATACAGGAGGTTTTATAAAACTTGATCTAAAAAGAGCAATATCCTTTTAAAACTTATAAAATAATAATCATCAAATATAATTTTTAATATATTATATATATTTATCATTAATATATCATATATTATTATCATGTGAACATAATAAATATTAATCCTTAATACTTTTACACAATTTTCAAGATGGTTTAATTATGGAGGCTTCTATTGTAATAGTTAATGGAAATTTCCAAGAAGGTATTTTACATGTAGAAAATATAGGTTTGCCACCAGCAGAATCATCTAACAATGCACGTGTAGATTTTGGTAATACTAATACATTTGGTGGTTCTCACAATTTATCTTTGAAGTTTTCAGAAAAATTAAAAATTTTTGAAGAAAGTAATAAAGATGGAATGATTGTTTTTGTATCTGAAATATGGTTAGATGATGTAACTGTTTTACGCAAATTTAAAACTATGATAGAAGGATATTCTGAATGTCCTCCTATAGCTTTTGTATTATGTGGACATTTTTTAAGTTTTTCTACTAATATATCAAGCAAACATACATTGAAAAAAGGACTTAAAAATCTTGCTGATATAATAATACAATATCCAGATATAAAACAAACTTCCAAATTTATTTTTGTACCTGCATCAGATGATATTGGATCACCAAAAATTTTACCAAGATCACCACTTCCAAGACATCTTACAGAAGATTTTAGAAAAAGTATACCTGGTGCAATCTTTACTACTAATCCATGTAGAATTCAGTATTGCACAAAAGAAATTGTAGTGTTAAGAGAAGATATATTAACAAAAATGTGTAGAAATGCACTCCATTTTCCAAGTCAAGGCAATATCTATGATCATGTAAATTTTATTATATTATTAATTGTTTATGTATGTTATTTATAAATTATATAATTTTTTATTTTTTATAAATGTTTCAGTATGCTAAATCAATCATCTGTCAATCTCATTTGTCTCCTTTAAGTTTGTCAGTAATACCAATATATTGGAAATACAATCATTCTTTACAAATATATCCTACTCCAGATCTTATTGTGGCTGCAGATAGATTTGCAGAATATGAAACTAATTATTCTAATTGTCATGTAATTAATCCTGGATTGTTTCCAAAAAATGATTATTCGTTTAAAGTATATGTTCCAGCATTAAATTTAATTGAACATTGTGCTATTCCCAAAGATAAGGATGATATCTAATCATAAATTGTTTTTAATCTTTGAAAATAAATAAAATATTAACAAATAAAACATTATTCAAAAATATTTTACAATGTAAATATTTACAAATTCCATCCCTTTATGAATATTTATATGTTTATTTTATTTATAATATTATTTTTTATATTTATTATTTATTTATTTATAAATATTATTAATGTAATATTTATTTTCACACTTTAATTCTCATCAATTTTATATAATAATTTTTTATAGTATCTCAAAATATACATTTTTAGTTCATAATTTAATCCATAAAAATGTTTATTATTAAAATAAAAACATGTTAAGTTTGATTATTAAAAAATAATTTAATAACTCATGAAAATACTAGGTAATTTCTTAACTTTTTATATTCAATATAACAAAAGAGAATTGAAAAATAATTTAATAACAACATCCTTATGAATATGTTTAATATTATCAACATAATATACCTCAGAGAAATTTAACATTTTTTTTTTACTTTTTTCTCAGATTAACTAACAAAGTTGATCAGATTTTCTATGTAGGACATAGGAAATACATATTTATTTCATTTTTTTCGTGTTTTTTTTTTTTTCTTATCGATTTATATAAATAGATACATACAATATTAAACACGTGTTTCTACCTCTTCGCAATGTACATAACAATATTACAGGTACAGACTGGGCCCCGGCATATCTCAATTCACTGCGCTGGAAGCATAAGTCAATTACTGGCCGTTTAATCAAACATCAATATAAGGATTATAACTTTATAGAACAACGCGTAATATATGAGATGCAATAATAAAACGTAATAGTACGATTCACAAATATTACAATTTCATATTAATAACAAGCTGAATTGTTATTAACAATATCAGCTATACAGAAGTTAAAGGGAACATATGTAATTAATAATAAGACAGAATTTTTGTTTAGCAAATTTTAAGATAGAAACATTAATTTCATTATTTAAATCAATCTCTTTCTTTAGCATACAAACTTTCACTCTCATCCTACACATACATTTTATGCTCTTTCGTCCTTTCTGTACACTATATAACTTTAGCAGTCGTATACGAATTACGAATGCTGCAAAAAATTTTAATGCTTCAAATATTGAAGCTAAGTATCATATTGATATAACGAACAAACTTACAATCATGGCAAGCGAATGCTAAACTTTTACAAACGTTCGATTACAGTGTGAGCATTAGAGTGTTAGAAAAAACAGAGATTAATGATTAATATGTATAATAATGAACTTTAAAGACTACGCGCATTTACTCATCGAAATATATTACAATGCCATCATATAAAAAAAGAACGCGCTTATATATTTATTGCACATCCTTAAATTTTTATATACTCCGATGTCCGTACCTCCTACAATCTCAACTATATCATAATACAGAATAATACATAATAGTTTATATACCAGTGCTTTCTTCGTATAACTATGTACAAGTGTATTACTTTAACTAATAGAGTTACAATTTCAGTCGACGGACGGTGTAATGGTCCTTCAGACTCCATGTCTCACGAACTTTCATTCTTCACATGTAATTCTTCTGAAAAATAAATGATTAAATCAACTATTGTTCAAAATTATTAAAGTTATTTCTCTCAATATTTTAAATTTCATCATACTTAATCATTTTTATTATTTGAAATATTGAACAGCTAACAATATATAAGAAATAAAATTTTAATAATATGATTTTTAAATTTAGATTTACATATATATAAGATTGTAAATTGAAAAAATTCAAAATCATAATATCACAATATCTTTTACTTTGTATATTATTTAATTTAATAATTTTTTATTCAAATTTCTTTGTTTTTTGAGTAAATATGCTGCATTTTTTAATAATAATATTAAAAAATGTTTTAATTAAACAATTTGCTATTAACTAAAACATAAATTTTTTTTAATATTACTTACTTTCTTTTTGATATCTTCGACAAGCTTGATTTCTTTCTTCTGCATCAAAATACCATAGAGTGATTGCATATCTTGTTTTATATGCTGGTTGAACCTCATGCGGATTTCTTCTGTCTGACCAAAAGAACAGTATTCTATCAAAAAGAGGTTCAATATCTGCTACTTGATCACGCCAGCCTTCTGGAAATATCCTCAAGAGACCACCGTTTTTCTAAAAATATAAAAATTAAATATAAATTATTATTAGAAATAAAAACTCATAATTTAAAATAGCATTAAATTATTTTCTTAATTAAATATAAATAGTGAAAAATAATGGATAGAAATTTTATTATAAAAAACTTTATTTAAATAATATAAATATTGAATATACAAATTTTTAATCTTTTAAGTCCTTAAGATTTTTAAGATTTTTGTCTCCATTGATTTAATCCATTGATTTTCTTAGTTTTCCAAAAAATTTTCCAACTTCCAAAAAATATGCAAGAATTAACATATATAACTTTTTAATTTTCAATTATAATTTTAAGATATTCTTTTTTTAAGATATTAAAAACTTTATTTAAATTGTTTATTGAAACAATGATTTAAAACAATAATTGAAAGAATCGTCAGTAGCAATATTAAATCTTCGATGATATTCGAATAAATTTAAAAATAAAACAGTTCCAATTTAAAACTTGTTCAAAAAGAGGTCAATGAACGTAAAAGTTATACAAGTTCTCTCATCAAATCTCTTTCTCTCTCTCTCATAAAGTCAAGGATGTATTAATGCATGATTAAAAATAATAGACATAATGTATTTTATATTTTAGTGCTTTTATATTATAAATATAAGACAACACAAGCCTATTTTTATGTAAATTAATATAAATATTACTTAACAAGATTTTCAAACATATACGAGATAAAAACATCGGGACATGGGACAATTCACGTAGACTCTGAATGCCCTTTATGATAGAATATCTTTACTTTTAAAATTCAAACATTTATGATCGCATGTGCAGGATGAATGAGAGATAACAAGATAACAAAGAGAAAAATTTACGATGAACATAGTTAACATAGAAATTGAGTATTTTTATTAGTTATAATTTTTATTTCTTTATATTGAGACTTAAAATATTTTTTTTTTTGTATATTTTAATTGATAAGTATAATAATATACATCTAAAATTTAAATATATTAGAATAAAAAATCACACATCAACAATAATTTAATAATAAATTACAATGAAAAATTTATTTTTAAATGAATTTATCAATAGATAAAATGGTGATTTTGCTAATAATTATATTTTAATGTCAAATAATCACTTCCTCATTAATCACTAATATTTATTTAGCAAATAAATATAATATGTATAGCAAATATAATTTAATATATCATTAGAGTAATCAGAGTAGAATGACTGTAATGCGATTATGTCAGGAAACCAAGTTTCAAAGTATTACATGTGTAATATGTATATGCGTAGTGAAACTATTAATAACTATCATGAATTTAAAATAAATATTCAGGTTTAAAAAATTTTCATATATTAAAATTATACTAAAATCTTTTAATAAAAGAATTTAATAATTAAATAAAATTTTAATATTTAAAATAATATAATTATAATATTATAATTATAATATTTAAAATATTATAATATTAAAAATCATTCTCAAATTAATTCTCAATTTAGATTCTCAATTTAGAAAAAAAATAGAATAAAAATTTAATAAAAAAAAATTGGAATGGAATATCGAAATGAAATGATTAAATTAATTTTTACCTTGATATCCCAATTTTGATTAAGATAATATATAGCTGTGATGCATCGTCCATCTCGATTAGGATTATCCACGTGTTTCACGTAATGCGAACCGTGACCAGGATAACAAGCCACCATCGCCTGAAAAATAAATCATCATCAGCATCGTACTTTTAATCAAGGAAACTAAATGTCCTTGCAAACTAGTTTATTATGAATTTATGATCTTTAAACAATCATCGAGAATATTGACTTCATCGTTTCAGGGAATTTTTAATATAATTCATTCATTTTTTCTTTTTTCTTCTTTTTTTCAAATAATATAATATAATTGTCAATATAATATATGTATGATAAGCATTTTAAATATATTTCTATTCTTAAATATAAATTAATTTTTATAACTACTTATCAATGATGGACACTTCTTTTTCTTAAATTAACAATGAAAATGAGAAAGATAAATGGTCTTGGAGACGCAATAAAACAAATATATGACACTGTAGGTAATAATCTTGTATTATCGCAAGTTAAATAAGTCGGTACCGTATTTATAAATGTTCAATATGTACAAAATATTTGTTTCTGGTGTGTTATAAACGGATATGACTATAATATGGTCAAATACCTTAGAATAATATATTTTTTTCATGATCTTATATTGATTAAAAAATCAATTATTAAATATTTAGTTAATCAAGTTTTTCAAGTTTTCAAATTAATGAATTAATAATCGATTAATTTAAAAATTCTACAATTTTGTTTATATTTTTATGTTGTATAATAAGATATATAGAATAAATCCTATAATGTATTTTTCCAAAGATAAGATTATCATACTAAGGATATCATAATCAAAATATAATGATACTTTAAGAATTTTAATCAGAATTGATTAACTAGACATAGATAATAATAATCTAAAAATATCACAATCGAAGTCACATTATAATATCTACTATAATTGTAATCAGCTTTTACAATCATGCAGGTTTACAAGAATGCAGGTTTCAGCTGAATTCATTTATTAATGGAAAATTAGAGTTAATTTTTATAATAATCGATTACATATATTGATATATCCAATTGTCTTATTGAAATTTAATAATTTTTTAAAGAAATATTTTCAAAACTTAAAATTTTTTATTTTCAATAATATATTTAAAATTTATTATTTATTATAATATATAATATATATTATATATATA